GCTCGACATGTCGGACGCCTTGTCTTTGAGCTCGTGCGCCTTGTCCGACGCCTTCTCGTGGACCTCACTCGCCTTGTCGCTGGCCTTGTCGTGAAGCTCGTGGGCCTTGTCCGACATCTTGTCGCGCGCCGACGCCAACTTGGAGGACGCGCTCGAGCTCGTGTCGCTGGTCTTGCTGGTTTCCGACATACTGGGTGAATTGAATTCTGAGCTTTATGAACGCTCGGGTCGACTGGCAAGAAGAAGGTATACGTCTGTCGACTCGCCCGTTGCTGCGAGGATGGTCGAACGCAGCGTCGGGCTGTCGGCACGTCCCAACAAACTGCCACCGTCAACGGCTCCGTGATCACACCGTTGAGAACGCCACTTCCCGTGCGGCTTTAACCGAGGCGAGCTGTCCGGCTGCCACGTCATGTGATCGTTTACTGTGCCTTGTCGCACATGCTCTTGTTCGGCCTCGTCGGCGTGCCACGTTGGCAAAGCGTGTCCTTTGTATAAATCGTTCGATCCAGCATCGATGGTCTCGGTTAGTTAGTTAGTTACAAGGTTTAGTCGTCGTCTTGTTCACATTGACTGGCAGTTGGATTTCTCGTTGAGCTTTCCGCTCGCACGTCCCATTTGACATGTCCGACTGTGCTTTTTTCGAGTCGTTGCTCGCGTACGGACGATGCGTCGCGAAGGACAGTAACCAAGGCTCTCTCGGCGCGCACAACGTTGCTTCGCACTCGTGTTGCAACCGTCGTTCTTCCCCCACCCTTTCCCACATTGCACCAGCCTTCCTTGAAGCAGGCGACGAGTAAGAGCAGATAAATGATGACCTCCCAGTTACGGACAGAGATGCCCTTCTAACTCGCGTGGAGCTCGGTCGCACTGTGTTGGCGTTGCGTCTCGGGGCCCTTTTCAATGCCCCACACCGGTGCGATCGTATCGCACTGGTATCCGGATCCGGATAAAGATTCAATAGTGTGGTGAAGAGCGCCAAGTTTTCCGCCAATGGAGAAGCGTAGATCTCGACACCGCATCAAGGCAACCAACATGACGCAGTGTTGGTCACATCGCATACATCGAGAGTCAATCCCAGTGCGTCGCTGCCCGCCCAACCACGAGAGCGACTCGGTGCAGTGACAATGGTGCCGATAGAACTGACGAGGACGTCACGATCCCCGTCACTGGTGTACATAGATGCAAAACCATGTATTGAATGCAGTGGGTTATACAGGCAGCTACCTGACGACTACTTGCCGAAGAGGACGAGCATCGGCTCCAGCGCCA